CGCAGTAATAATAATTTATTGCGATACCGAACGTGCCTAAACACGCAATATTAATAATACATAAATTCTATCAATAAATAATATAAATTGGGGCACATTCAAATATCGCAAATAATTATAAGCAAATTACAATCGAGTTTCACTACGTTAACGACGAGGTCGAATCGTGTTTCTATAAAACCACAACTTGTACTTTCATACGACTTAATCATTTAAATATTTTGAGATTAGTTAGAAATAAATTTAATAAATTTCGTTTAATAAATATTAAGAAACTCTTTTTTAAATATGTTTTAAAGAACAGCCTTAATTGCGTGAAAGTTTTCGTGAATACTGCACTAACTAGACGGTTCCTATAATTGGGTCAAAAAACACATGGTCCGACTGTGCACGAACAAAGAAATCTATAATTATTATCATTTGCACGGGGTAAAGCTATAATTTGTACCATTCGGGCAAAAGTCATTGAAAAAAATTAAAGTACAGGATGAGACCACCGGATAAACAAGCACTAATATTCTCTCTCGTTATTTCATTATCAAGTTTTTTCTTATATTTTAGTAACAAGAAGTTTTGGATTTACCCAAATAAAATCTTCAAAAGAGAATCGTATAGATTTGAATTAAAACTAACAAATGATCATCATAGCTAGATAAAATTAGCCTCTTTATCGTTTACATTGTAAGGTAAATAGGCTTTCAATGAAACCATCCAACGATAATAAGTACGTTTCCACATCAAAGTATAGGTATTATTAGCCCGATAAACATGCAGTTGCGCTGATGACCTATTGCGAGCACTAAAAAGTTGTACTGTCTCGCAAATACTACATATTAATACATTGTGCGCAAGCATTAGCCATGTCATTACTAACCAAATAAATATTACTAGCGGACGTCATTGTCGTCGCAGTTCGCTGTTCAATACCATCGTCATTACGTTCATAAATTAATAAGGAGATTACGGCTTCGGGTTACATATACATGATTATCGTTCGCACATAAACATGATCATTTCCGAATAACATAAACGTGCACTTTCATCTCTCTCCGACCGTATCGTTTATGATGGGGAGAACGTGAGTCAAATTATACAATACTCAACCTATTTTAAATCTTTATCTAATGTATTAATCAAAATGATTTTAATCTCTAATGTAATGGTTTTGTCGAGGACTATATAACCACAAACAGTATCATGATGAATATATTTTAACCTTGTACACTCGCTTACACAATCACACGCGGTCAATCCAAAGTATATTATTTACTTTTTTTTGTATAAAATATATAACTTAACACATTAGAACTAACACTAAATGGAGAACAAGAAGGAGTCGGGTTTTATTAATCTAGCGTTAAATAACAGTTAAAACTAGAACTAACACTAGACCTATAAAATTTCGAGTTTCTGAAGACGCACGGCTCTAAGTTAGTTCCAGTTTTAGCTCAATGAAAAATATATAACAATCAAATGCTGAATAGCAACTAAAGCAAGAACCAACACTAGCATTAGAACTAACACTAGACTTAGAACCAGAAAGATTTGGGTTTAGCCGTCCGTCTCTTAAGACGACTAAACCCGAATGTTTTCAGTTCTAGGTCAAGTGTTAGGTGTATTTTTAGGTCAATACAAATATACAATAATCTAACGCTGAATAACAACTAAAACTAGAGCTAACACTAGCGCTAAAACTAACACTAGACCTAGAACTAGAAACATTCGGGTTTAGCCATGTGTCTCTTAAGACGGCTAAACCAGAATGTATCTAGTTCTAGATCTAGTGTTAGTTCTAGTTTTAGTTCAGTAAAAATACACAACAATCTAATGCTGAATAACAACTAAAAGTAGAACTAACACTAGACCTAGAACTAGAAACATTCGGGTTTGGCCGTGCTTCTCTTAAGATGTCGGTAAATGTAAGAAAAGATATAGACAAATATCTATATGCACTACCACATTTTCTGCTTATGAATCCTGGTTATGAATCCAAGTGGTACGCATCATACTAATTTTTTATGCTGTTCAGCATTCACTACTTAGTAGTACTGTACTGTTCGTTTATTCAAGTGCGTCACTAATAGTGTACATGAGTATAGAATTTTTTCAATATTTTAATTTTATTGCCAAGGAAACGCAAGTTTGTTGGCAATTGGGCAGTCACACTAGTTGTTGGCAATCACACCGCTAAACTGGCCCCAAGGGAAATACTTTTTGTGAAGACATATGTGTAAACACTGGGCGTGAAGTATAACGTCAAGTATAATGGCTAACTTAGAAGAGATGAAGAAACGATTTAATGAATAGATTAGCAACTTGAAATCTAAAAGAGAAGAGTTCGGGTAAATCCCATGAAGAATATCAATGATTAAAAAGTTATGACAATATAAAAATTGGAAGTGTAGAAAAGCTCCTAGTACATGTTAAAAAAGAAAATGCCATGGAGTAAGGGATTTAAAAGTAGTAATTTTAATTCAGGATGCCAGGTAGATCTAATTGATATGCAGTCACAAGCAGACAGCGACTAAAAGTTTATAATAGTTTATCAAGACGGCTGCACAAGGCCGTGAAGTTTGGTAGTTTTAAGGTAAATTGAATGCAGCGCGACGTTTCTTATTTTTTCTTGCTCTTATTATCAACATATCGGCGGACGAAAAGATTTAAGATAGAGAAAAGACCAAGCTTTCCAACCGTGTGCTTAGTTTTTCGCTATCTTTCTAAATAACAAAGATATGGGCCCTAGAAGTAAGTGGAAATATAAAGGAAAAAGTTTGTTGCTGGGCGGTTTGTTGCTATCGTCTCGCCGGTAACAAAGTTAGTGAAGAAATGTGATATGAACTCAAAATGGTTCATGGAAACCGAGATACAGCCGATCCCAAGGTACGGTTGAGAGAACCAATCAGGACTTAAAAAGTATTTCGCCTACGTGGCTTGAAACAAATAATACCACAAAATGGTCAAAAGGAATTAAATTTATCCAATTCATGAAAAATAAGGCTCATCATTCTGGAATAGATTAAGCTATGTTAGGCTGTAAAACTAAAGATGGCTTGAAAACATATTTGCCAACAGATGCTAGTTGAGAAATTACCACAGAGGAGGAATTTGAAGATGTGTAAAAGAGCACTGTAATAAAGATATCGAACTTAAGAGAACAACTCCAAAAGAAGACAAAGATAATGAAGCAGAGGATGAAGGAAATATGGAAATGGAAATACATCATCCTACTGAAATGTGCAATTAACAATAGGGCCGTTAAGGCCAATCGATTAGAAAGACCGTCTTTCAAAAAATCAATAATCTAAATTAAATTAGGAACATTAGTAACGTTTTCACGTGCGAAAATTGTTTAATTTTTGCAATAATTAATGTAAAAGTTTAAAATTACCCACCCCCGACTCCAGATGACGTTTTTTCTTCTGTTTTCTTCTAGCGCATAAGATTCGTAGCATTGTCTTTCTCCAGGAATTTTATTGATTTGTATACGCTCCAATCATACGTTCAAATCTGAGTGACGTATTTTGGAGCTCCAATCGTACGCTCAAATCTGAGTGACGTACTTTAGAGTTCGCGCCCTGTGATTTCAAACTTTATTTGTTTTTTTTTTGAAAAACTAAGCCTCAAAATCAAAAATTAAAAATATAGGGTCAATCAATTTTAAAAACTTTTGAATAAGCCAATAAAAACAACTTGGCTATTACTTTAATCACAATAGGAAAAATCGGTAAAAATGACCAAGTTCAAAATAGTATAGAAGGAAAAGGTAATTTCACCTTCTTAGTCAATAAAAAATCTACAACCATTTAAGAAGCTCGAAACTATCTGCAAAGCACGCACTAGAAAAGCAAGCTGACAAAATATTATGCTTCTCAAAAGCAAAGTATCCAGTAGCTGCTGTAGTAGAAACCGTACTTATAATTCCGGATGTAGATGGAGTTAAAGCAGACAGTCGGAATGATAATAGCACTTATAATGTCTATTAAAATGATAGACAATATGCAATATTTGTATTCATTTAAATATTGTCATTTGAAAGAGCCAGCCAATAAAAGATAGCGCAAATGCGAAATTAAAAATTTAAATTGAGCGGACTGATAACCCACGAGTGTGTATTGAAAGGTTAAATTCAAACATTTAAGGTTAAATTCCTTTCTAATACGTTTATGAATTAAGTTGTGATTGAAAGTGTTTGTAAATAATATTTAAATAAGATAAAAATAAAGTATTTTCAAAGTATTTGTAAAGATTTTTTTTGCAATAACGTTTTTATAATAAATATGTAATATCAAAAAATATGGTCATGGCGATATTATAGTGCAGGAATGCGACCGTAACTTATTGATGATATGCATCACGTAAACAACAAAAAAAAGGGTGTAGTAAATCCATGCGATATTACATATAAAATATACATTAACTAGTGTTAAGTTGTGGGTCAGCGCATTAATAATATAAAGTTGGGAGAGGCCATTGCGCACCGAGAATAGGTAACGTGTATGTAAATAGTTTAGATCGTACGGCACACATAGGTTGTGCCAAACGTTTTTGCCACTTGTAGTCATTTGCGATGACGATAATTAAAAACAGGTCGACCGACATCGACATCGCGTCGGCGTATGTCCGTATATAATCTGTAATCACGGGCCACGGCACGTCGGAATTATGTTATTTGGTAATGACGGAAACGTAAAAAAGGCAGAGATGATTAGCGGTTTTATTACGTTACGCCATATGCTCTTATAATTATTCGTATGCCGGTGGTTGTGCTCCTTTTTTGTAGGTGGTCGTCCACAACTCGGCACGTTACAGATGCGATAAACAAATATAGGTATAACACAACCGTATACCTTTGCACCTTCCAAAACGAACTTTTCACAAAGGATAATACCAACAACCTGGTCGAATTTTCCATTTTTGTACAAATTTTTCATCATTACACTAATACACAAACAGGTGGAATATTTTTTTTAAGTCAGTAATGAACCTAAATTAGTACTTACCAGCTTTCGAATACTAATATAGACGTTGTGTATGATTCTGAAAAAAATTGAAAAATTCAAATTAATAATTAACATATTTAAAAAATAAGATTGAAATTAGAACTAAAACAAAAGTATTTGGTAGTACAACAACATCACTGTTAATTAAAAAAATACATGTTTTCGAGGTAAGAGGAAATATATTCGAGGCGTTGTGAATGAGAAGTGTAAATACGCCCGTAAGGTGTTATAGTAAATACCAGCGAAGAAATCGATAAATGTGCTTCTGTTTCGGATCTTGGAAATGTACATATATAGGTACAATATAGAGAGAATGTTCTACACTTTCTATGTCTGTATACGTTTCCACTTATTTGGTGGAATAACAAATATGTAACGGGTAACCCATAAAAATTTGTTTAGAATGCAGTTCTAATTTATAAAACATATTAATCAGAATAAATATTGAAATTTGAGAAATTCAATTTATTATTCAAAATTATTAGGAAAATTAATTGAAATTTGTCACAATAAGTTAGATTTAACAAAAACAGTTTGAATGTAAACTTTTATAAAAGCCTGAAAACAGCTTTTATGTAAAACAACAACGAGGAACGATGATTATATTAGTAAGTCAGATCAATAAGGTCAGATTTAAAATTTAAATGCCCTCACATTACACAAGGCTAATTTCGAATCAAACCAGTCAAAGTTAAAATATTTTTATAATCAGTGTCAATAAAATCGATAACCAAATATGATTTATTATGAGAGGTCACAAATATGGTTTATTAGGTATAAATGTGCTATATACATTTGTTTCATGTGTACCTGTTATGTTAAGAAAAATCAGATTTGTTTAATAGGGTCAATAAGTTTTGATAAGTAATGTTGAGTGTGGCCATGAACATTGCGTAATAATTACTTGCTATCTTGGAGAAGGTTTGTATGCTGGCATCAATGAACGTAGATAAGGAATGTTACATAAGGTCATGGTTGTTACACAATGTTTACAATAATGTTAGGTAAGTTCAGGTGTGTATACCAAGTTCAATAATCTTGGGCAAAGATTTTCTTTTTGCGATTTTAGGATCTTCGTCTAATTGTAAAAACAAATCTATTTATTACGCATTAATAAACATCAATAACAAATGCATATCAATAAATATCAGTTATTTAATATTAAGATTATGGATAGATACTTTGAAAAATATGGTATTTATGTCTAAAATTGTTAACCTTAATACATTAGAAAATAAAATTGAATATTGTATATGAATCATACTTTACAGAAATTGTAGAGCATCGATAAGCAAAATTAGTACATCAACGTTATTGTGAACAATAAAGTTGGTACTGCATCTCAACTAAACTTATTGTATGATAGAAATTTTGAACTATGATAAATTAACAGATTCATTCGAAGAAACATTCTGGAGACAGCTATACCAGGCAAATCGGATACTGGAAGCTCGTTCGTTTCTAGTACAAAAGGACACCGAATGAGCTTTCTCGATCAAAGGTCATAGTCGTAGTCGACGTAAATCTTAATCGTCAAAGTTTTTACTGCTTTTCCAAGTGTCCTAAAAATCCGATATAAAGCCAACGAACATCTTTAATCTCCTACAGGATAAGACAATCCTCATCAGAAAAATAGCATTCGTTAACGTGAGTAAAATAATTATAAATCGTATTAAAACGTCCATAGACGTAACACCTTTCCCAATAATAGAAGAGCTAAAGACTGTAGTTAAGCAAAAACAAATACGAGAAGCTACAAGATGTTCAACATGCTGACATGGAAGTTGTAGCATAGGAAAGGAAGACTAGCAAGGATAAGGGTTAAATTTATCACGCAAGACCATTACAACTTCATCTCAATGATGCGTTACGAAATACTATACAATAAAGTACAAAGCAACACATATCTCTCTCCGTACGACGAAATAGGATGACTAGAAATGAGTCGTTAAATATCTAACTATGACAGAATTCGTGCATTACACGCATCAATAACCAGAGTCTTGCCAACAATGATGCTTAAAAAGTGAAATACATCGCAATAAAACGACTTCTAAGATATGCCAGAACATAGATAGAATCTGCGAAAAATCATAGTGTTGATTTTTAAAAAACAACAACAGACATCAAAAAAATCATCACAAAAAGAAAGTGACATCATCTACTTCCAAGAAACTTTAATAACAACCTTCTTGCATTAACTCTTAGGATACTATTACCACAATAAATGTTTAGGTAAAACAACCACGAAACAAGGTCTTATCACTTACGTCAATCACATCACCTCTGCACTTATTCTTTTAAACAAAACAATAATAAAAATCGAATCTTGCTAGATTCGCACAATGTTGGCTTATACAACTCTAAACAACTACTGGAATAACTTTACCTACAATAATAACGACAGAAAAGTAAGTAGATTAAAGCTGGATAACTAAGGATCAAGCTTAAAATTCCTACATGTGCAGATCCACATCCTCAACCTAGCCTACAATAATAGCATTGCAATAGACTCAACACACCAATCCCAAAGTGATCCAAAGGTAACTAGTTATCGTCTAATCACTACCCTATAGTAACTACCACAATAATTATAAAAATATAAAATACCACTCGCAAACAAGTTGGTTTAAACTTTGTGCTCCAACTGATACTCTTATCCAAAAGCTTACCGAAACTATCAAAACAGCCTGCTATTCCATCACAAACATAATGAAGGAACACATCTGACCATACTTGACATCAAAAAAATGTTTGGCTGCGCCTGACATGACAAGTCATATATTAAGCCATTATAGTTTAAACTTTTGTAGTGCTATCCGGAACACCAACCCAACATAACAGTATAAACGAAAAGCAGCTCTAACGGGTACAAAAACCTCAACAATATGAATCTCAACAGAAAATTAAACGAATCGTCAATCGGTCAGCTGACCCAAGAACAAAGTGAATGAACCAAGTCCATCTACCTCAGGTCAAACAACTACTCCAAATATTAAACGATTTCCACCAATATTTCAAAAAGGATTTTAAAAACCCCATTGCTCTACAGGCACAACTAAAATAAACACATCTACTGATGATGATTTTCGGGCCCTAATTAATCATTACATATACAGCAAGTAAAGCCTAGATTCTAAACCTCTTTCTGTAGTTGTTTGCCATATTCCTTCTTCTTCGACGGAAGAAGCAATAAATGAGTAGTAAATTTGAACATAGCTTTGGATTCCGAAAGCATTTGTTGATCAGCCACCAGCTGCACAATTATCGAACATTACTGAGTACAACAAGGCACTATCATGATACCTACTCTGTTTAATAACTCATAGATGCGATTAAAAATATTCAAGTGGCTATAAACACCTTAGTCAAATGTGAAGAAATTTTTACGAATTTTTTCATCTCAGCAAATTAAAAATGTACCGGTGTTAACAATCAACGGAGAAGCGATAAGATGAAATGACGTAAATGTACCTTTCAAATACCTTAATATTTTCCTTGACACCAGATTAACATAGAAGTACCATACACTCCAAGAAATGAACCAAAGTCACGGAAAGTTAAAACAACTTTATTCCTTAGTACTATTCTGACACATAAAACACTCATTCAACCACTCACCTATGCCTGCGATGTCTGGGTAAATTCGTCTAAACATACAACGAACACATTCAAAAACAAAAGCAGTACAACCGTATGACTTTAGCCGAAGGAATATTCATGGCTTGAATTAAAACTACGTGAACTATTAATAAGAAATTGAACTAGCATGGATAACGATATGATCATTATTTTGTAAATGACGGGGTCCTTTTGTAGATGTAATTTGTTAATGTATGTTAATTTACTAGCCTGACAATAAAATTACTTAAAAGAATAAATTAATCCAGCAGCAAATCTCATCAAAAATATAAAATCCTTGCTGAACAAGAGGTTCTTTAAAGTCAAAGCAAATTGTGAACTAATTCCCCCCAAAACACAACCAGTTCATAACACAACCCTCAAATAAGCTGTCGTCCCCACACATCTTCCTCTACTACTTTAACGATACTCTCCTCCCCAGCGAAGAAATTTAGCGTTATTCGCAGGCGACATAGAAGTGTCTACCAAATTTTCCCAAGAATATCAATCTACAAAAATTAAAAAATTTCTAATAAGCTAATACATCTCTAAAGTAACTTTACCCAAAACAGAATACTCGACTTTGACACACAAATTGTGAAAAAATTTAAATCTTACATTCAAATTTTTCAATACCTCCAAACACCTTTCATCTAAAAACAGCAGAAAATGCGACTTCTAAAATTACTTCTTTTTCTACAGTTACAAAATACAGATAACATAAAAATGAATCGTAAAAAGTTGAAATTGCACAAACAAAATCAAGTAAAGAAAATAAACTTAACAAATACATTATGCTGGATTCATGCTGATTAAATTGGCCACTAGTACTTTTCTATCTGAACATTATCATTTCAAATAATTATTCGTGTTTATATTTTCTACCATCTATAATTGCCAGCAAAAAGCGTGTAGATACAAAAGATCAGACCTATGATATAATGTCAGCATGAATGGGCTGGTCGGGTTATTGACCAAAGCGGCAAAATGTTCAACTACTTAAACGCAGCAGACCGATAAAACTTACCATTAAATCTGTAATAAATAGCCTATTAACACGTCGACATAATTTTCCATAACAGAACTAAACTAAATGAATTTAATCCAAAATTTATAATTAAGTATTTTTATGTGATTACAAAAAGAAAATTATATACACCTCTATATGATTTTTCTTTAATGGCAATACGAGATAATATCGCCTCGGCCGCAAGCGTTCTCTCACTTTCTCTCTCAAGTCGTTAAAGATAAACTTTACCTTGATATACAATAACTGACAATTATATATATTTAATCTTCTGAGTAGACTAACAGCTCTTTATTATCTAAATGATTAAGGATGGATTTTGAAGAGGTGAAGACAGTTGAGACGTTGAACATACATACATAAGTCGAACATATGTTTGTTGTTATAAA